TTAAAAGAATAACAACTCCTTTAGGAACAGCGATTTTACTGGAAAATCTAATTTACATAAAAATTCCTTATAACTTAAAATAAGATATTCTGAGCTAAATAACTGGGAAACAATCAAAATGTTTTTCTCAAACCAATTACTAAAAAACTAATATTTATTCTTATATACAATATATTGATTGTTCCAAATGAAGTACCAGTGAGGGGAGAAGTTGTACTTAAAGATTAATGACCATGCAAGTAATAACTGCTTATGGAATTTAGATCAATTAAGGGATTCTAGAAATATTATAATTAGAGGTCAATAGGAAAGGGAGGCCACCTAATTAGGAAAAGAAGAAACGAGGGATAAAATTCCAGATTGAGTTTGGATTACACATAGACTGCCTAATCCAATTAATTTTGAAAGTGTTGTTCAAAGAAGAGAAATCAAGGAAATTCAACCCACCATACTCATATGTGTTCAATAGTACAGACTTCTTAATATAATGGATTTTGTTCTTCCAAACAAAATTAAACAGGATTTTGTTGACCGATTTACACATTTTGTTGTCCACATATAGAGAGAATGCAGCATACGTAAACCTGGAGATGCCCTCCGCCTTAGCAAGCAGTACTCGTGACTCTCAAAGTCAAGTCTCTCTGCAACCATGCGTTAAATCTTCTTTGGGCTTTTATTATAACAGGGTCAAAGTTCAAGGTACATCTCTTATCTTGATTTTTAGTAATCACAATGCCTAAATATAATTTCAGATTTAACTGGAATATTATAAATAGTGGGTGCTGTACAATCTTTAATAGACATGAATTCACATTTACTTATGTTTAGATTAAGACCTGAAGCTTCAGAGAAAAGTTTTATATAATTTATGCTATAGGGATTTGGGAAGCATCTCTTAATAATAAGGTGGTGTCATCTGCTAATTGACTAATAATTATTTCTCGATCCGCTATACAGATACCCCGAATACCGCTTTCACAAACAAACATTGACAGCTGCACTCAAAGAAGAAATAAATAGCGAGAAATGGGACAACCTTGTCTGACTCCTCTAGATAAACTAAACCTTGTTGAAGTGAAGTGCCATTCTTTAATTTAATCAAAGAGCTTCCATTATTGTAAAGGGTTTTAAATACTCTGCAAAACCTATCCCCAAAAGAATCAAATGCCTTATAGAAATCTAAGAAAAGAATGAAGCTGTCCTCCTGTATCAAGTCTGAATAATCTAATAAATCAAGAATCAACCTTATTAATAATGTGTCTTTACTTAAAAAAAAACGCTGCTCGGTTCACCGCCCTAGTCCGTAGGGATCTCCCCTTCGTTGAGTACGCCTGGGAATTCTGCGGGCTCGCCGTGATGAAGGCATTGGACGCCGCCACCATCAACTCGCTGTTCAGGATCGGGGCGAATTTCTACCGCCCCGCTGAACTCCCAGACACCACAGGACTAAGCTGGAGGGAAGGGAACCTCCGGTGTTTGGAGAGTGTCCGGCCCCAAGCCAGAACCAGCCTGTTGTCAAGCCCGCCGGCCGTTCCTCAGTCAAGGCCGCCGACCGCGGCACTCTCAAGCCCGCTTGCTGCTCCGAAGTCAAGCCTGCCGGCCGTTCCGAAGTCAGGCCCGCCGGTGGTTCCATTGTCAAGCCCGCCGGTCAGTTCACTCTCAAGCCCTCAGCTAAAAGCTGCACAATCCTTAACCCCAAATCAAGGGAGGAATTTGAGGAAGCGACTGTTGGCTCGAGCCCATGAGTCTGCTCCAGTGTCGGCTCCAGCCCCTGAGTCCGCTCCAGTGTCGGCTCCAGCCCCTGAGTCCGCTCCAGTATCGGCTCAGTTAACATCCTCCACATTTCATTTCATTTAACTTCCTACCTTATTGGAGAGAAATGAAGTAGCACGTTGATCTGCCAGCCGTGGGTCTTCATGCAGAGAACTCTGCTCATATTTTTTTGCATAATGATGCATTTAAACGTTAATGGCCAAACGGATGTTTATAAAAGTTCACATTGTTGTTGTAGATGAAATATCCTAACACAGATAACATTAAATAAAACATTTTAACAGGTTAAATGTTGATTATTAGTAACTCAAGCCCCTTTATCTAAACCTCTCTACTTTAATGTTTTTTTATTCGTGTTTGTAGTTCTGAACCGAATCATTCGTCAAAGCGCAATGGACTGTGGGCAATATTAGCCATCAGAGTGTGCATGGATCCACACTTCAAAAATCTACCTGAAATAGTAGACCATCCGGGGACTTCTGGCATACTCTTTATTAAAATCATAATAAAGCATAATGCTATTGTGAATTCGCAAACGCTACGATGCAATTAAATAAATATATGTGATGCAGGATTAATATATGCTCTTGAATTATTTACATGTGTCTAGGTTAAGTAGGCTACTTGCGTCTCAGAGCGGCTCCATTCAGTAAATGCTGCTCCACACTAACTGTTATCATTACATGCATGGAGCATCTCAAACTTCCGCCTTAGCAAGCAGTACTCGTGACTCTCAAAGTCAAGTCTCTCTGCAACCATGCGTTAAATCTTATTTGGGCTTTTATTATAACAGGGTCAAAGTTCAAGGTACATCTCTTATCTTGATTTTTAGTAATCACAATGCCTAAATATAATTTCAGATTTAACTGGAATATTATAAATAGTGGGTGCTGTACAATCTTTAATAGACATGAATTCACATTTACTTATGTTTAGATTAAGACCAGATTTGTAAGGTAAATCATTTATAAACCTACGCAAACACAGGAGAATTGAGAAACAGAGTTGAGACATGCTTTGATCTCGCCGCCATGCGGTCACGTGGTTCATGGAGCTCTCAATAGCTCCAAACAACTCCGCTCTGTCAATCTGTATGAATGGGTTTAATCGGGACAGGCAGCAGTTTCACTATATTTGCAGCAATTTTTATGCACTGATTGTGCATTGATAACTACGCTTTATGTCTCATTTTTAGTTTAGTGTTGGGTGTAATACATTACTAAGTAATTGAGTAATGTGATTTAATTACTTTTCCCTTGAAAAAGTAAAGTATGGGATTACTCTTAATTTTTATGTAATTCACTTACAGTTAGGCTACTTCTAATGTAATTGCGTTAAATACTATAGACTATTGACAATTATATTTAAGACAAAAGTGGATTATTTAACATCAAAATTTAACATCTGATGTTAAAATGTATGTTTTTAATGTAACCTTCTCCCTTTAAATACTGTTCAAGTATAATTTATGCAAATGTATACTATTTATTTGAAAGAATTAAAAGATCAGTTTCATGTCTATCCTTGTATTGTTTAACTGGTCAAGGCTGATATAGGATTTAGGTATTAGTAAGTAATGCAATACTTCATAGAGAGTAATTAATTAGTACAGTAATCTAATTACACTGTTGAAGATGTAATTAGTAGCGAGTAATTAATTACTTTTTAGAGTAACTTACCCAACACTGACTAATGTTATTTTTTATAACATTTTTTTATTTGGGACCTATCCATTTTCTGAAACTGCTTTATCTATCCCCCCATCCTCCTTATATACCAAAAAAAAAAAAAAACACAGGTCTAACCTAACATACAGGCTAAAAGTAGTTTCCTTTGGGTTTTCTTTTTTTATAAATTTGCTTGGAGGTATGGCATTTTCTAGGGAATTTATTTTGTTTTTCAGTTATACGTTTCACAATACTGATTTCACAATACGATTTTCTCAAGATTTTTTTTAAACAAAATTAGATTTAAGACAAATTATTAATGAAAAGGTGCATGTCCTTTTATTATTACTTGGACAAAATGCTGCACATTTCTTTGTGAAATTGAAATGTCAAATAACAAAACTAAATTAAAATTTTAAAACAAACCCCAAATCTAATCAAATAAATAAGAAATTAACTAAGGCTTTGCCTGTGCTCTTTCCATTCAAAATTAGAGGCAACCACTGCATTTGAATCACAATCCAAAGATGCTGCACACATGAGCAGATTTTTCATCTAAATTAGACAAACAAAAACAGAATGCTCTGACTTTAGTTTTGTGAAACTATACTACATAAAACATCTGCACAAAACAAAAACAGCAGAAGCTCTGAATGAGACGCAGATTCACTCTCTGACAGCAGGTGGCGCTCATGGAACAGCAGCGATACATCGTTTCCTTTGTTACCGCTGTAAACAAAGCAGCGCTGTGCCTATGAACACTGCTTAAATATGCATTATACAGAGACGAAATGAAAAGAAAATATCATCTAAACTTTTTCTAGAGGTGAGAATATGCTAGCCTCGCGAGAGCCAACGTTTGTTTACAGGAGGAAAGGAAGCAAAGTTTCCTTACTTTAGCAAAGGAAAACCAGTCTCTTCTTAGCTTATATCGAAATCCTCCAACATTTTTCTTTACAAATTCTTGTTTTGAGCTAGAGATTACTGTTTATAAAGTTTTAAATATGGATATTTTTCTTACAAAAATGCATCGATTCGCTACAGGAGGCCTTTATTCATCCCCCGGAATCATGTGAGGCACTTTTTATGATGGATGGATGCGCTTTATTGGACTACTTTTGGACTATTGAAAAATAACACCCACTCACTGCCATTATTAAGCTTGGAAGAGCCAGGAGGACATTTTTTAATATAACTCCAACTGGATTTGTCTGAAAGAAGAAAGTCATGTACACCTAGGATAGCTTGAGTGTGAGTAAATCATGCATGGGGTAATTTTCATTTTTGGGTGAACTAGCCTATCCCTTTAAGATTTGTTTAATATTTGCAATTTATTCATCCAAATACTTTCATTGGTCTGAGCCCTCCTGTTGATTTGCTTAATATTTGCAATTTATTTAACTTAATACTTTCATTATTCTTAAGCCCTCCTGTTATATATATTGAGAGGTGTGGTAACACGTATGATAGACTAAAGGTGATCTTTAGCTGAGTGTGCAGGGAGGCTGCATTGGGAGGTCAGCTATGGATGTGGAAACTATAATCACAACACTCCTTTTTTTGAGTCTCTTTGGACTGAACTCCAGTTATAGAACACACATTTTTGTCAATGAAAAAAAGAATTGGAAAGATGCACAGGAGCACTGCAGAAAACACTACGATGACCTGTCCACTATCACCAGTCGTGATATAGAAATCTTCTGTCAAAACTCAAAAATCCTAGATGATTTTTTCTTTTGTGGGCTTCAGAGAGATATTCAAAACTCAGGGTGGATGTGGTCTAATGGTGAACCAGCAACAATTAACGAATGGGATATTGGTCAAGGATCTGACCGAGGCGAAAACTGTGCAGCAATAAGAAAATCCACTAAAAAACTGCATGATTATGATTGCGGAGGACATTTAACATTTTATTGTATGACGGACTTAGACCTGATCCTGGAGACCAAGACCTGGGATGAGGCTCTGGACTACTGCATAGAACGCAACACTACCCTGGCTAGTATGAACTCCAGTACGATTATGGATCTGGCAATGAAAATGGCTGAAAATGCCCTGACGGTTAACGTCTGGACTGGCCTGCGCTTTCTGATGGCCCATTGGTTCTGGGTAAATGGAGGTGATCTTGAATACAAGGCCTGGTCTAATGAGGAAGAGGTACAGTGTCCTGTCATGAATCAGCGCTGTGGAGCTCTGAATAGAAACAGGAGGGTCTGGAACCCCACAAACTGTCAGGAGAGACTCAATTTTTTCTGTTCCATAAGACGCAGATAAATACATTTAACAATATTAGTGGTATTGTTAATGGCAGAATGTTAACTGTGTGACTAGGAAACTGGCAAAATATTGCAAGTATAAAGTTTACTTTACTAAAGTTTGAATTTTAAAATATATATAGATAGATCTTTATAATATATAAATAAATATATATAGATCTTTTTTTTTTTGGAAGATATTTTTTCCAGCTTTCAATTCATTTGAATAGAGTAGTTGCGTTTCCTCATATATAAAAACACACTACAAATACACACACACACAAACAAACATAAAAAGCATATACATCACAAGTATGTTATTATATTACAGCAGATGTTTAGTTTATGCATGACTGATTATTTTATTAATGATTAAGGCACTTAAAAGCATGATATGAGCTTGTATTGTATGCAGCCTGTTATTTTATTCCCTCCACTGGCAATTATTAGAATGCAGCTTTTTTCCTCCTACTGGTTGCACTACGAAAAGTCAAAGTGCATACATTTGTATGAATTTATCCTAATCCATGTATTGTTAGATATTATATAGAAGATTTAACTATTTATATAAGATTCATTTACTGTTAACCATGTTATAATTCATCTGCATTACATTGTGAAATAAATAATAATAAAATAAAAATGTTTGTTTGGCTGGCGTTACCTACACGTTATTACAAACATCACTATGTAAATAATCCTGAACAACATGCTACTGTTGCTTCGTGCCTCATCAATATGTAAACAATACATCTATTTATTTACTAATGTTGCATAAATAGAATTAAATGCAGAATTATGAAGGAAAGCTAATAAAAGGATTTAGGGAATTATCAAAGAATATTATGAAAATATACTAGAATATAATTTTTATGGTTATAATATAAATTTGTATATCAGTATGCTTCCACTGACTGTGGTTTTATGCTATTTAATTTCCTCATTTTAAGTACATCCTTTTTCAGTAAATGGAATTGCAGAAAAACAAAACAGCTCCTGCGTTTGTGAGCACGTGTGATGTACAAAATATGGTTAACAATGTAAGCTGTCATTGTCAATAGGTTTGTTCAAGAATGTGTCAAATAAAGTACGTTTAAACCATTCTGTCAGTGCAGAAATGTTCTGATTTTATTTCTAGAGAGGTTTGTCACCTTCCCAGTGTCATATTTATTGTAAACAAATCCCGTTTCTGCATATGCAGCAGCATTTTACCTGTCAAACTGAGTTTATTTTGTCTTTCAGTTAGTTTGAAGGTTAACAATATATTTGCATTGTCTGATTTGCATCTCAGGCCATTTTCTAAAAACGACAGAGTTTCAGTCACACACAGAGTAATATGAAGTACTTAACCTTGTTATCTCTGCATGGTTTTATTTTTCACATAGCGTCACGCAAAGTGAATAAGTGAATGTTTTCACAGAAGACGGGGGATTCACAAGACAGGGATATAAACCATCCTGCTGTTTTTGCAAGCATTCCTAAACTGTGTCTGTGTGATAAAAGAGGAGCTAAAACATGACGTCAATCCACCTACTTTTACCAACATATAAAAAAACAGTTGATCAAAATTGTTTGTTAATTATAATAAATATAACAGAATGAGACTTAGCTTAGCCAGACCTGAAATGCTTAGAAGGAATTTCTAAAGTGCACAAAAAAATCTACAGTGTTAAAGGCAATATGTTACAATAGACACTGTACTTTACAAAAAATATGAAAATCAGTCATACAGGACATTTCCACATCCTCAACACATTTAAAGGCAAATCACTTCATTTTGTTTTTCGAGTACTCGTCATCAGATTTGCCATAGTTTGGCCTATTGTTTGTGGAACAAATTGTACTTTATCAATTCACTTTACTTTTATTTGGCACTTACAGAGGAGAAATTCTCCAGGGTCGGGCTGCAATATCACACAAATAATAAGGGAAAGGCTCAAAGAGATGGTCAGGGCCATTTCTTTATTATTGGTATGAAACATCAGAAATCTTCTGATAGGTAACAAATCAGTGTTATGACATAAATGTGGTGTGAAGCTATGGCAACACTGCATTCATACACTGACAATATACACTGAAAAAGGGAAAGCTGCTCTAATGAAAATACTAAAACAATACACTTACAATCAACAAATGCATTTATGTTTGAGGCGAGAACATAATTATATTGTATAAAGCCTAAGCAAAATTCAACACAGTTGTCAAAAAGTGCCATTCATTCAACATGATTTTTACTTTTCTTCAGTTTACTTAATTAAACTAATGCAACACAATTCTTTTGTATTTTGTCTCAGTTTAATTTAACTGGGTATGCTCTCTCTACATTTACTTAATTCCGTGTAAATTTAGCACTAGTGGATGACTCCTACCAACATATTCATGAAGAATGCCACTCACCAGAAGAAAAAAAAAATCAAGGTTGCTCCTGAAGTACTGCTAAACTGACAGCATGAGGGGTATCAATATTGAGCTTGTAGAAGCAGGCAAAAGTACATGGGGAAGCCCAAGCAGCAGCAGCACAGATATCCACCATATACTCTTCTGAAAGCAGCCCAAGACGTAGACACAGCCCTAGTGGAATGATAAGAGAAATCTTCTGGCAAAGGTTTTCAGGCTTTCTTGTATGTCATAACCTCCACAATTCAATCTGAAAATCTCTGGTACAGTGGTCCCTTTCCTTGCACCACCATAACAAACAAAAGGCTGATCTCTGCTCCTAAGATGAATGGTGGCAGCAACATAGCACTTTAGGGCTCACAAAAGGTGATCCCCTGACTGGTCTGACTGTGGTGCTGACTAAAAAAAGCTGCCAAATTAATTGACTGATTTATAAACTGCGAAAGCAGAACGTTTGGTAGAGAAGAAGGATTTAGTCATAGCATAGCACCAGAATCATCTGGCAACCATGCATAACTCACTAACGGACAAAGCATGTAACTCACTTACACGCTTAGCAGAAGCAATTGTCAACAAAAAGCAGTTTTTAAAGATACCCATTTCAGGTCAAGTGGCAAAGTGGCTCACAATCTGTTAAGAGACAGTCAGACCCAGAGGCCAAACCCAAAGCTGCAGACGGGCTGGATCTGTGTGCGAAACAATGCCATCCATCTGTGACAACAGGTCCTTCCAATTGCCATGGCCTGCCCACCAACAGTGACAGAAGCATGGGAAAAGGCCTGGCTAGCCTTCGAAGTGCTACAAGTGACATTATAGATATACTGTGAGAGAGTATATACATAAGAAATATACTGTGTAATGTGACAGTTTGACAGTTTGGCCACTCGTGAGACAAGAGCATACAGCCACAACGGGCTGGATATCTCTGTTCTCGTAAACCATAAGTGACAGTGAGTGTTTGCCTCTGTTCCAAAAAAGATCCACTTCTGCTTTACCAAACTAGAGGAGTATTAGGGCACAGACCGGAGATTTTGGTTTGTGACGTCTGAGCATGCGCTGTTATCTCCGCTTACTGGAAACTTTTTCAGGCTTCTGAATGGCCAACATGGCTTTACGGTTGAGATTATATCGCCACCTGTTGGCTTGGCATGCTCTTGACAGTGCTTCATAGCATGCTTTTGCCATGTAGTACCATGCTATATAGTACCACTGCCATACAAAGAACCCATTAAGCCCCTGCAGTTCTTTGAAGGTTCTCTAACTCTCTCTTAGTCTGTTAGTTTAGTTGGGGAAAGGATTAAAAAAACAACATTAAAACATAATGTTTTTTCCTGAAGATAATGTGGTTCTCAACCTTTTTGCCCCCAAAGCCTAAAAGCATAAAAGTGATTCAAAACCGTTTTTGCCATTTTAGAAAATTCCCATTCATAGCAAACATATGAGAGTGGAGTAACATATCTAAAATCTGAGGAGAATAGGGTTCATCTGTTCTACATAGCACCATTTGACAAAGGTTCTGTACAGCACCTTTAAAGTTAGATGCTTTATATAGCACTTAAAGTGGTTCCCCTATGATTACGAGCCAATTAACCACTTTTAATGCTATTTAGCTCCAATTATTTTTTGTGGTAGTCAAAGCGAATCTAGACATTTAAATGTGAGAATTTTTAAGCTCACCTTCTGGTGAAATATCTCTTTGGCTCTTTGAATAAAGACCACTGCTCCACTGCTAAGATGTTTTTATTTTAAATTTTTTTGGCTTTTATGTGCTACCAAACCAGCGAGTGGTTTATGTATTTTATGTAGATAATTAAAAGCTTATTTGTAATTGCCACATGTTTTCACACAATCTCTGTCACTAATAATAAGCATGAGACTTCGTGTAATGAAGTTCCGTTCTTGAGTGATCTGCAGTTAAAGTTCTGCAAAGTTGAGTGATCTGCAGTTGGACAGAGTGTAACCCACTCTGTCCATAGCTAGATTATTTGTTTAAGTTAGTGTAACTGCGATGCAAATTATTAGTAAGTTGAAATATATTTTTGTTGTTTTCATTCATGACTAATTGCTGTAATTTCGGATCTTAAAGGGATACTCCACCCAAAAATTAAAATTCTCTCATCATTTATTCACTCTCATGTATATGACTTTCTTTCTTCTGTGGAACCCAAACTGAGATTTTTAGAACAATAGTCCATCTCTGTGATTCCATATAATGCAGACTGTCATCTGGGTACTTTTTGCATACTCCTTTATGAATACTGTGAATTTGGACATACTATGAAATATGAAGCTCACATATTACTGTCATGTTCGTTTTGTGTGGTTTGTGAAGTAACAACATTGAGGGACCCATCTACTTGCATTAAATGGACTCACAGTGATGGATTTTTTTTCTCAGTTTGTGTTCATTGTGAAAAAAAATAATATTCATCTGCGTCTGCTTGAGGGTGAGATGATGAGAGACTATCCCTTTAAGTGCCATCCCAAATGTGACCTTGTAAAGGTAAGAAATATAGACTTAAATATATATTAGGAAAAAAAGGTTTTAAAAATTAACATTTTATAGTTATTAAATATCAGTTACTTTCTGCCAATACAGCTGTGCAGTGCAACAAAGAATTTATTTTCCCATAAATGTAAGTGCTATTGTCATGAACATCGATACTACATATTTTAAAAAATGTTTAATCAACTGGCTGTATCTTTGCCTGTTTAAATTACCTTTTAGGTCTTAAAAATAATTTTAGGTTGTGAAGTGGTGTAGCTGAACTTTTTCACCATTGACATGTTTTAGTAAACAGAAATTTGTGTTCATCATTTGTTTGTTTTTCTCCATATCCACCTCATACAGACAAAGACACTGGACTATGACGACGTCAGCTTTACACTGAGCCATTTTAGGAGAGAAAGACTGACAGATAGTTTTTTTTTTCTCCATCTGGCTTGCCTGAAACAGAACTGTAGGATAGGATAAAAAGTCAATGTAAACTACTAAAGTTCATGGATGCCCTCTTTGATAATGAACTTGACTTTCATGGATAAAATAAAGGACAAAGCCACAGTTAAATTAATAATGATGATTGAGTCCCTCAGACCTTTAAATTCTACTTCTGGTTTAATGCACATTTCAACTTTTGCTTCAATACATTGAGCATTTCTCATCCTACTCCAGAGCCAAGACCACACGATCCTTTTGGGCTGATAGCTTTTGCATTCCCTGTTTTTCATAAGATGTAGGATAAACATTTGAATAATCCAATAGTGACTTTTAAGAAAAAGGTAGGCTTTTATTTATTTGTCTTTGGCTGGGGTGAGCTCTCTAAAATTGCTCAGAGCGTCTGTCACTGTACTGCGGTTTTACGAATAGTTTTCAGTGTACAGTAGAAGGGTGAGAGGATGACGTTTTTTTATTAAAGGGATTATATCTCACCCAGAAATGATTGTTCCAAACCTGTACGACTTTATTCTGTGGAACACAAGAAGATATTTTAAAGAATGTTGGTAAACCAACAGTTTTGGTGCCTAGTGACTTCCATTGTTTAAAAAAAAAATCACACAGGAAAACTCTTAGTTTTGGAACGTTTGTTGAGAAAGTAAATGATGACAGAATTTTTAAGTAAAACAACTTGTGCCTCTGTATGTACCAATTGTTTGTAGAAACATTAAGTTTAATGTTTATGCAGAAATGTGAGATGTAACATACTGTATGTTATTTGTGGTCTACTGTTAACAGTGATGCTTTTGATTTTCCTGACCTTCAAATAGAAATAGTTGTAAAATAGTTATGTGTTTGTACACCGTACATAAGCACTTTCAGGGGTGTCCAGTCTTGATCCTGGAGGGCCACAGTCCTTCAGAGTTGATTTCCAACCCCAATTAAACATCTGAACCAGCTAATCATGGTCTTCAGGATCACCAGACTTTGTAGCACGTTGGCCATCAGGATCAGGAATGCACACCCCTGCTAATCACTGTATTTTACTGTATATTGCAATGCACTGTATAAAGTTCAGATTTTTTTTAAAAGACAGATGGATCTCTGAAATAAACTCTTTATATCTAAATAAAGCTATTTGCTTTATTGATAAAAATGGCACATTAACAACCTAAACATTAACACAGGACAAAAAGAGTAAAGTTAACATGACTGAATTATGTTGGGATAACTTAATTAGATCATGTACTCTTTTCTGATTAACATATGTACTAAATGGTCTTGACAGAAAACATCATCTGAAAGATATTCTTAAAAGTTCTTAAAAAACATTCATATTTTAATAACACTGCTGAATGTAATCCCTTACAAACCTCAAAATGTATATCCATTTTTCATATTAAAGACTTTAATGCACATTATACAGTAAATATTTTCACTTTTGCATATTCAGAAGTACTTTACCTGTTTCTGAGGTCAATTTCAATTTGTTTATTTTGTCCTTCAGTTAGTTTGGAAGTTAAACAATATTTGCATGCTCTGATTTGCATGACAGGTCCTTTTTTTTTTAAAAAAAGGACACTTCTTCAATTTCAATAACACACTATATTAAAGTAACACACCAAACGTGAAGAAGTCTGCCTCTATCAATATTTTTAGGCACACTGATAATTATATTGCTAAGATCTACAGTGGGCCAGAACAGATAAATAGTTGATCAGTCTGCTGCAATAATAATAATTTATTGTGATTGATAGTAATTGATTGTGAAATTATTATTGTTTTGTTTTGTTTTTGAGCATACAAAAACATTTGCTTTGCCTTAAAGGTGGACATACTGTTCATGAATGAATTTGTGCATTATTTTGTGTCAGTTCACATTTTCTTCATTCAGAGCATAAAAAGAAGACACTCTCCAGGGTTGGGGAGTCCAATAAAAAGCAACACAAAGGAAAAAGGAGTCAAGAGGAGGAGTCTTACAAGTAGAGACTAAACTTTGATTGGTCAACACTGTCTTACTGGTCTATAAGAAAGAAATCCTCACAAATTTGGACTTGTGATCCTCACTTTGGGCATTCCTGCTGATGTTAAAACACTGGATACATTGGCAATATGGCAACAAAAGCTACAGTCACTGTTTTTCTGTTTTTGAGTCTCTTTAGACTGAACACCAGCCTCAACAGAAAACACTATTATGTGAATAACAGTATGAGCTGGTCAGATGCACAGTTGTACTGCAAGAATAACTATGATGACCTGTCCACCGTAAGCAATGAAGAACTGCAACTATTCTCTGATAATCCGCAGCTCACTGAGGATTTTTATTGGATTGGACTCAGGAGAAATAGTTGGTGGTGGTCGTGGACATGGACCGGAGGTGAGGTTGCGAATGATATCAAGTGGGACAATAACCAACCAAATTATGATGATGAATATTGTTGTGCTGTCAAAAGGTCCTCTTCTAAAATTCATGATGCTTATTGTGATTGGCCTATACCATTTTATTGTATGGAGGACTCGGAGCTGACTGTGGTGCCGCAGGAAAGCACATGGGAAGAGGCCCTGCTATACTGCAGACAAAACTACAAAGATCTGGCCATACTGAACTCAGATGAGCTCATGACAGAGGCAAGAGATAAGAACAGAGCAGCCCTGACTGATGATGTGTGGATTGGTCTGCGCTTTATCGCCGGGCACTGGTTTTGGGCAAATGGAGAAGCTTTTGAATATAAGGTCTGGTCTTCAGTTGGAGAGCTCCAGTGCCCTGCCATAAATCAGCGCTGTGCAGTTCTGAACCGTAATAGTATGGTTTGGGAACCTGTGGACTGTGAGCAGAGATTCAACTTTCTCTGTGCCAATAAACCATGAAATGAAATATCTGATTTATTTATGATGACAACCAGCCTAAACTAGCCTAAAGAGACAAACATTAAAATCACTTTAAAATAGAAACTTTTAAAGCCTATTTAATTAGTTAATATAGATGTGCTATAGGTTAATCTTTCTGTCTGAACACTTATTTATTTTAGTTTGTACTTATTTTGCTTTCTTGAATCATTAAATATAACTACTCTAAAAGGTTCTTAACACAGTTCTATTTAAAAAGATTTCATCCTGAAGATGGAAGTTTTTCCACACATTTATGTTTAGAGTTCTTTACGTCTTCATTATTGAATTGTAACTGGGTTCCCAGTCAAGTACTTTCAAATTGACTTTTTTTTTTTTTTTTTTTTTTTTTTTTTTTATTTTTTTTTGTGTTTTTTAAATGTTTTTTTTGTTT